GTATCATCTATATAAACAGAAGACAGGGACACTCTCGAGCCTTTTGTCATTCCTTGTATAATTAACCGTATGGTCATGATGGTAAACGCGGGCGTAGTAAATCCGGTCGCTGCTCCTACTCTACCATTGTCCGGAGAGACTTCGGCTGCGCATGTGTCCGATGCGTTGGTTGTTCCGGTGCTTGCTCACGAAACATTGACAAGTTTGATAATGTTAATTTCAAAACTTCTTTGTCATTCTTAACTTGATACTATTTAAATGACATCCGTTATACGACACTGACTATTAACGGCATTCTAAATTTGAAACTATGTAAATGTCATCCGCTATACGATATTGATTATTTATGACATTCTTTACGCGAGATAATTTGAATGACATCTGCTATACGACACTGACTAATTACGACATTTTTTTACGCGTCACTATTTCAACACGACGATGATCATTTATGACATTCTTTATGCGAAATTATTTAAATGACATCCGCTATTCGAAACTGATTATTTACGACATTCTTAATGCAGGTTTATTTAAATGATATCCGCTATTTGAAACTGACTATTTACGACATTCTTTACTTGAGACTAATTTTATGACATCCGCCATACGACACTTACTATTTACGACAATCTTAATGTGAAACCTTTTAAATGATATCTGCTATACGACACTGACTATTTACGACATTCTTAATGTGAAACTTTTTAAATGACATTCGCTATATGACACTGACTATTTACGACATTCTTAACGTTAGACTCGTTAAATGACATCCGCTACTATAGCGGTGTTTCCAGATGACTTCCCTTTTCTAATACTTTGTCTACTGCTTTGTGTCTTCCGCGGAATTCACGAATTCACAGGATTTTGTTGTTTTACATGATCTGTGTTTGACAGTTTCTGTGCTCATCAATTAGCGTTGATTATGACTAAGATACATTCACCGGAAGTGTTTTTCAATGGCAAACAAAGGCATATAATTTGCTTTGTGTTTCATCACATAAGATTCACATTGTCTTTTGTACATATAAATGCAATGTTCGATGTTCAATATTTGTGAGTTGAAGTCCCGATGTTTTGCCTTTCTCCCCGGTGTTCGAAAAGTTCGAAACATCGAAGTTTGACTATTACTATATTTTATGTTTGGGATAATGACTATTTCCTTTCTGGCCTGGCATATTTCCGGTGATTTCCTAGTCGGGCATCACTCCATTTTTTGTTTCTTCCTATCAGATTTTGTACACGCATTCTGGAAAGTTTTCCTTATATCTTCTGTCCCTGAGGTTTTACTATGATGTTGTTGAGCGTTTTTTGAAGTTTTGTGGCCGTTGCTTTCTCATTTGCATATGAAGCCTGGATGGCGATTGTTAACGACGTCGATGACCCCGACTAACTCTTACACGTCATGAAATTGATTTTTCATAACGCTATTAGCAATAGCGTGACCTCGAAAGGTCAACGTAATGTTGTCTCATTTTGAAATTTCCTGACGTCACCAACACTCGGCAGAGTGATCTATAAATGTCTATAAATCGTAGTTTCTTTTGGTGGTTTTGGCTTCGTTCCGTGCTTCTGGTGAAATGTTATGTGTTACTACAGGACATAGAACATAATAACTTTGCGTATGGCGTTTACGGCAATATGTTTGATGGTTACACAATTGGACATAAGACATACCTGGCCTTCCATACAAAATGTATGATCAGCGAACTTTAAAAAAGAAGTATTGTTTTTCATTGTAAAGAAGATGTTTATGATTAACATGATCTAATCATGACCCACTTCTGTTAATATAAAGTACAACAAGCGTATATTTTCTAGTTTTTACATTCCAACAAAGTTATCGGATTAAACACATCACTTCGGGTTGTTCCAGATCTTTTAGAATCAGTTGCTACTAATGGGGATAACCGTTGTTTTATTTTGATTTGACATTATTCCCTGATTATCTTACCGGACACACAGTTTTCTCATGTGATTCCGGTTTATCTCCCGGCCCATCAAACTTCGTGGCGGGAGACATAAATACACTTAATGTCAGTGTATAACTAACATGTTAGTAGTGGAACACTAAGAGTTAACGAAAACTTCCATCTGTGAGGTGTATTAGAAGGACACTATTCACTATTTGAAACTAAGTGTTTTAGGATGGCCTGATATAATTTATACAATTGATCAATCGAGAATCAAATTGACATCTAATCTACACGATCGGCGTACTACATATTGTAAAGTCCAACTAGTTCTTAAGCAATTGGACGTGCTGTAACAATGATTGATGCAGAAACGAAAAACTCAAAGTGAGAAAGTATGAAAGGTTTGTTTGATTCACCCTGTCATTAAGATTTCAAGGGTTTAACATTGGTATAACTTAAGATGTGAGTTTTTTATTTGAAAGCAAAAAGAAAAAAAATGACACTTACAATGCGCACATTTAACTAATATTTATTTACAGATGCACAATGAATGCAGCAATACAAATTTTGCAATCATATGAGTAAGTATGAAGCATTTCTAGAAAAGTATTCTGTCCTAACTCACAAGGCAGCATGTCTGCAAGGACTACATGCACGAATGATAATGAGGAAGTCTCTACTTCTACCCTCACAATAATAGGATAGAATTCAAAATATCTGTCTCCTCAGGTTCGATCCAAATGAAAACCTGAGAGTTATGACATAGTAGATTTATGCTTTATAAACTCGACTGAACCTTTCTCACAAATAGTTATAACTGGTCGAATGGTTTATTTCACAGTCACATTTACAAACATGTCCCCACAGTCGGTTTGTATTGAAACATCATATCTGTTTTTGTTTGTGCTAATGGCAAAAGATTCAACAGAAAACTAATTGAGACACGTTTTTGAGATATATGTTGATATAACTCATAACAGAAAGTATTTCATCCAAAAATAGCATATTTGAAGTAGCAAGTTATAAAAATATCTGGGGTAAATTCCAACATGGTTAAAATTTAAAATGAATTCAATACCTATCAACTTGCACAGCGTTGAACGTATTCTTTTGAGGTTCGCCGGAGAAAAACAAAAACAGTTTCATGTCATGAATGATAATGAGATTTATCACAGACATTTAAAAAATCAAACTTTTTTTT